AAACACGGGATGGGAGCCATCTGAGCAGCCATTACGGCCTGAGTGTCCATGTTGGCCTCCAGGCTACAGATCATAATAGCTAGTATTCAATGGTCCGTTTTTAGAATCGTACCATTGAACGTCTTTTATCCTTTTCGCGAACACCCGGTGTCGTCACCGATTTTCAATGATCCATGTATATTATGTTCAAGGCTCTTTTGCCTTAAGGCCAATGGAATCAGTTTCGTTGGATGATCAGGGTTGGTTGTTGGCCTTTTTATATTTGCAAACAAAATATAACTACTCAGTTTGTCATGATCACAGGTCTCAGTTTGTTTTTCTTTTCACATCAACAATTGACTTGACTTAAGAGTGCCGAGGGTTTGTGACGGGTGCCACGCCGGGGCAGGATGCGCTCACCTCTTCGCGAACTGCCAGTATCATCTCTGTCACATGCTTATGATGTAGTCTGAATGGTACGATGGAGTCTGGTTTTAGCAGATATTTCTCATTATTATGGTTTTGTCACATTTCTAATTAAAAAGAAAAATCATGTCTTATGCATGCTGTCCGTAACGATATCATTTCTCTAATCACCCCCTGTGGTGGTGGAATTAATCAGGACAAAAAATGGTATTCCTATTTACATTTTAGCCCGATCTCTTGCCTTGGGCTTGTAAAATCTCTCCAAAAAAGATATTTCTTCTGTTGAAATAACATTCGATCGGTATCAGAGCGGAAAGCTGCCCGTGGGAAGGCGGGAGCAAATGGAAATGGAATAGACGCATTACCAAACCCCCACAGGTGACTGGAGCGGTTCTTTCTGATTACTGTCGTGTGCAACGTAGCTTGTTGTGGAGTGCATTCAAGGACTTATGTCTAACGAAGTGTTGCGACCTTGCTAATACTGAGTTAACAATCTTCGTCCGTAAGCGCAAAACATTACCACGACGAATTAATGCTAGCCAAGGAATCAAAGACCTATATTTTTCTGAAGATTTTAGTGTCAGATGGCAAACGTTTTAACGCGTCAATACACACATTTCTGTTAAACCTTTAAGTAACATCAACCTGTCTACGTTGTGTAATAAGAAAATGATCTCACATTAGTTTACGAATTAACATGACGCTAATGGACCCCCAAAATATGGTGACGGGCCATGCATTTAGTGCATTGTGGGGCTTCTATTATCACGTCTAACACGTCGATTCCTAAAATGGTTGAAATGGGTGATGTCATCGTTTACCTAGAATATTAGCAACAGCGGCGTAAAACCCGACTCGGGTCACTTATATCACATCTGCTTGCACAATCAGTCTCTAAATGGTCGACTGTGAATATCTAAGAAGCTGTGTATTCGGATATATAAACCACACACCCATCATTGTCGAAATGTGTGGGCTGTGGCCTTTACAGGCACAAATGTAGTGATGGTAACATTGTTAGCATACACATTTACCGCTAGCTCCTTGACTTCAGTGACGGAATATGTAGGCGTACAGAGGGTGTAACCTGATACAATGTTTAATGTCATCAAAATGTAGATTGCGCGCCGATATCGGAGCTGTAATTTAAAAGGTTTCTCATACAATGTTGAAACCACTTCTGGCAAAAGTAGTGTCCCTACACGTCGCGAAAAGGGATATGTTTTTAATTCAGTGCGACATCTGGGCTTGATTGAATGGCAGTGCTGCTCTAGGGTTAACTCTTTGATCTACTTTCCAAACTAATCCCGTAATTTCACGAACTACGATTTCCTTAATGTCAATCAAACAGTAACGTCAGAATGACTGTTTGTTCGGTCCCGCTTCTATATATAGTCTCACCATGTCTCACCACTAAGTGAGTGAGTGAGTGAGTTGGGTTTAACGCCGTTTTTAACAGTATTCCAGTTATATCGCGGCGTGTCAGCTTAATGTGGGAGGAAAGCCCGAAGTGATGCAGGTCTTAGACGTTTACCACTTCGGTGAAACCCACGAGCACGGGTATGGTGCTGACAAACCTAGAAACATAATCGGGGCGAACCGGGCTTCGAACCCACAATCATAGGTTTCTGGCGTTCCCAAGGGACGCAACTCTGCACAGCGAATCGTGGCGCTTTAGACGACTGGGCCACCCGTGCCCCCTCACCCACTTAGGAACGTCTTTGGCTTAATCTGTCTTTCAAATATTGTCGCTTCAATCTCGTCATCCTCTTTGGTAACATTAGAATTAAGGTTTATGGATTGGCATTTATCCTAACCTTGCTTTCTATAAACCTTGTGTACACTGCAGTTAAGAGATCAGAGCCTCAGGTTATATCATGATTAAATTTATTGTCATCATCAACGATATTTCAGATCTTTCCCGAAATTAATAATTCATAATTTTAATTCAGGGAAAAAGTATAAAATCATGACTTCATTTTGCATGTCAATGTCAGTAAACCCAATATTGATTGCACAAAGCCGTCCAGTTGTTGAAACAGCCATAAGACCACACAACGTTCATGGTAATCCAGAGTGTTGCAGGCAATGCCATGAAATAAACATGAATTCTACTGACGTCAGGAACAATCGACCATTGTCTGAAATAGAAAAGGACCGGGAGGATTCACAACGAGATAGGAAACTCGTAATGGCCTCTGCTAAGCATCGTATGCTTGACAAATGACACATGATATTAGTTGAGAACATTCTCGAGATCAAGTTCTTATTTCATGCACCCAATAGCTTTCGGTTGAATTGAAAAGGTCGTTATGTTTCCAATACGTGAGATTATGTTTAAAAGAGTTTTGGCTTTTTTCGCATATTATTTATATACTAACATTTGCATCAATGAACCCCCGAGTTCCAAGCAACAAAGATATTCTGGAAAGCATTTTTTAAAAGGAATGTCATTTAATTTCCCACAAAACAGTCATTGAACACGCTATGAGCATTAGTGTAATGCAATATTGTAGTTGGTGCAGTTGCAAACGTGTACATGTGGGAGGAACTAGATTGCCTTTCTTGATTAATAATACAGTTATGGAGATACAACCAAGCTATGCCCTTATACTAGTTTACATGTAGGACGCCCTTCTATGACGTTATATAACCGGCAGATTGTCTCAATCTAGATTAAGAAATCCAATGTCATTTCGTAGATGACGCCATTTTCACAATGACGTCACGAGGCTCAATTACACTAGAATTTTTTCGATGAAAAGACCTTATCATGTTATATACACAATGAAAGCAGTGTGGCGAGAATGCAATGAAAGTGACAAAACATCATTGTATGATTACTGTAAATACATTTACTATTTATGACTATGTTCATATCTGAGGATACTACCGACATAGATGTGTGTGTAAAATGTACTGTTGTTAAATTTGTGCTTATGATGTATGTGAATTGCGATGGTTAACCAAGGGAATTGTACCTCCTTTTCAGTGCTATTACTTTTGGATAGGCTGTAATTCTTAAGAGCGTAGTAGATGTCTCTCTGTAAATGATAACACAGTATGAACACCCCGACAAAGTCAGGTTTTCTTCTGATGACCACAGAGCGTGAACAATTTCACTTCCATCCGTCACGGTGGGTTTGCCTAAATAAAACCCAAAAGTTGCTTGATTTGCCAAACTGGTGAAACCTTGTCACAATATGCCCTCAAAAGATTCTGGCGGGTCCTTTTGCAAAGTCTGCCAGAGTAATGGAACGATTGTCGACGCAAAAATACCATTGCGGCCCACGAATTAACACCGTAAGATGGACATTCAACATTGGTTGGGATCGTAATTGCAACCCGATAGTAGTTCTTCTACAATCCTATTTCAACAGATGTCCCCGCAATCACACGTGGTCTTGGTCAATGCCATGAATTAACCTTAATTCAGCCCTTTTCTCTAGCAATGACGCACTAAAAATTGGATGAGCAGATTGATTGATGGACGCAAGTTGACGTTGCTTCGACTTAGATTACGTCCGGAGTGACCACTAACAACATATGTGTAGAATACACAAGGTCAGAGAATGTCCAAACATGCCGGGGGCATTTATTTGTGTGTTCATTACACGATAGGATTGCTGTATTTGCCTTAGTTCAAATGCATCAACTTTCTGCCTTTAAGTCAACATGAAACACGTGACCTTTACTGACATCAAAGCCCCTGTTTCCAATTTTCATCCTCTTTGCGTTTCAGAACGTGATTAATAATCTAGCGAGGGTAAATGTTGTTTTTTTCCCCATCCTGTTCTCCTGAATCACCATGAGTGCTAAAGCGGTTTTTATTTCGCCATTTTAGTTAGATGGGCCTAACAATTTTAATACTTCTGTACAGTTTAAACTAAATATTTTTTAAACCACAAGGACCCAATCTCGTGTTTTTTTACGCGTCCGTAAGTAGTAAATATAGCAATATGTTTTTGGAATATATTTTTTAGAAGAATCACATGGAAAGCTGATTTAACTGATTTAAGCTCCAATTACGTTCTGTTACACCAGCCGTGATATAACTGGAATACTGTTCAAAGCTGCTTTTAACAAAAGTCATTCACTCTCTGTTACACAATTTGTAACGTGTTCGTCAAGCTAGTGTCTCGTGTTTAATTTGAGAGAGTGTTTTTAAAGCTAAACCACATTCGGACATAGTAAACGCCCCTGCTTAGTTTCAAACACTACTGCTCAGTCATGGACAGTTAATGCTCCAAAACACACATACTGTACATGGAATTGTCCTTAACACTCTCTCCACATGACCTTTCACAGTTGTAACATGACGTCACCGATACACGAATGACGCCATATCCTGCCGAAATTCACATATGCACACACCAGTTCATTTTGCAATCCCTATTGAAAAAGCATTACAAGTTTAAGGAGCAAAGATCCGATACCTCTGTTTGTGCAACAATAACGGCATCGAACCAAGGTTGTTTCCTTGGCGACTGCCTCCTTACCACACTGGAAACTAACATGAATCTCTCTACACGTAACCATATATAGAGAGGCACAATAGATTAGTAGTCTACTAAAGAGAGATTCTGCAATCCTACCTGCTGAGAGCGAGATGGCAGACAAGCCGTACTGCTTGAGCTTGTCGAATGCCAAGATGGACGCCAGGTTCCCGGTGCCGAAACACATCATCATGTAGCCCACGATGAAGCAGCCAAACACGTCGGTACCATATTGCTGCCAAATGGAAAACATAAACCGAATTAATGTCATGTTCGCTCTGGATGTAAACATTAATGTCACATTCCACAAACATATGACAATGGGCACCTTGCACAGATGTCTAAACAGATAAACAAGTGACAGTGGATGACATTCATTGCGATTTTACTGGTTATATTTGATTCACAGCCTCTCCCAGTTCATTCAGGTGGTACCGTATTCTGGCTTAGCGAATCCTGGTTACGAGTGAGTGAGTGAGTTTGGTCACGGCGTCACCACCTCATCTTGATGTGGGATACGCCCGCAGTGATGCAGTGATGTCTTAACTGTTTACTACTTTGGTAAAATATATATTTGGTAATAATAATACTACTAATAATGATGATGATGATGATGATGATAATAATAAGATATGTTTGCTGCTCAGGACCAGTAACTTTCAACTCGAAACCGTCAATGTGTGATTTTGCATCAAAATGTAAATATGAAATGTAGATTATGCAATGATTTTAATGAGACTGTCCAACACATTGTCAGTAGATGCCCAGCTTTGGCACAAACACAGTATCTTTAGCGACATGATGGTGTAGCTCGATCATTTTTTTACCGTCTTCGCCATGCCTGTGGTTTTGACACAGAGGTCCATCCATGGTACGACCCAGAATATGTTGAGGGCCCAAAACAGTCGATTGTACGATTTCGACTATATCATTAGAAATGGGTTTATGAATCACTGTCAAATAGTGATGATACCAGGTGTTCGTCACAAACACATGCAAAGGCAAGGCAATTGTTCCCTTGGAAAAAGCGCGGGAACATGTGGCACAAGTCAAAATAGGGAATTGCATTTTAGTATAATTTCTCTCACTTACGCGTCAAATTTGGAAATGCTCCCCATGTGTTTACCATAAAACACTTTGATCGCTTTACCGAGGCCTTGATTGTTGTAACCCTGATCAAACAACTTATGAGCAAGAATCGCATGACACTCTTAGAAACCTTGGTAGAAAGAGCATGCGCGATTGTACCTCACAAGTTGTGAAATGTAAACACCAAAGGCTGAAGCTGCTGGAATATTGATCGACATCAAGGGAAGCTGACTACTGGAAAGTTGAAGTCATCCCTCTTTTCATACAGTCTGGTTGTGTTTTGTTGTCTCTCTGTATCTTTATACAAGGATCTAAACATGAAACTGAAGAGGCGGTTTCACTGGTCTCTATCATTTCTAGTTCAGGTGGGAAAATAAGTGGAAGGAACTTGGCTATCTGCTGGGTATAGAACGATATCAGAACATCTATATATCTGAAGCTCGTGTTACACATCTTGGCCAAATGTAGCCAATCGGAGCACAAATTCCGATTATTCACATGCACGGAATCTACGAGCACGATTATAGATATGACACGCCTGGAAATATATTCAGGAATCGATCATAGGGTTCTCGCATGCCTGAGGGACACTTCTCAGCACAGCTAATTGTGGCGCCTTAACCGTGCCACCCGCGCGCTCTCCTGGTTATGCCCCTTTGTAGATATTGACGTTTACAACCACCATCTTAAGGACAGGACCGTCTGCGTGGGCTAGTGGTAGAGCGTCCACCCGGAGAGCGAAAGGTCCGGAGTTCGATCCCCGGCCGCGTCATACCATACGTTAAAAGAAGGTGCTTGTTGTTACCATGTCTGGCGCTCGGCATTAAGGGGCTAAAACAAGGACTGTGTGTTAGCACTATAAATCGGCATCAGTCCGGACTAGTACAAGCAGCCACACACACACACGTGCTTGCACGTCGCTATATAATCGCAATAATCTTGGACGCGACGTTAAACCCCATTTCACCTCACCTCTTTTAGGACAGGATTTCATGCTTAACGGGTCTTACAGTACTACATCCATTGGCATTTTTTTAATAAACACATATTGATAATATGTGTTAAACTGAAGAACGAGGTTGGATAAGGGCCTTTTGGGACCACATATGACATGTCAAATTATAAACTTATGACACCATCGTACTAATGTCATGAAATTATCAGACATGTGATTGTGATAACCAGCCTTTTTCTCTTTCTTAAACAGGTTTGTTACTCCTGGTATGTCTAAATACACAAGTATGTCTTAAACGAGAGACAAAAGACCAATTGGTTCCAACTTCAAGAGACTAACTACAGTAAACTACGCTTATAATGAACTGACGGATACCACAAACTGGTCTTTATGGTCCCGGCCATTCGTGTATATACATTGCATGTATGTTTATAACGCACTACGGTTATAACGAACTAAAATTAGCGGTCCCTTTGGGTTCGATATAACCGCAGCTTACTGTATGAGCAAGTCCGTGACATAAGATTATTCTTATTGTCTTTACCTATATCTCCCAACAAAAGTCAGCTGAAGTCAAGGACTTGCACATATTCAAATAATCCAAAAATGAAAACCTCCAAACTTAGCCTTTTCGACACATTTTAACTTTACATATGCATGTATTGCACACTACCGGTAGGACAGGACATGCTTACCCTTTCCACGAACACCTGGTGTCATCACAGATGTTCAGTGATCCATTCATAGTTTTCACATCTACTATTTTCCCCTTTACGCCAAATGGAATCTTTATGGGGGTTGCATTGACGTTGTATGTTTGTAATAAGTCCCAAAACGTCATGTTTTCAAATGAACAAAGTCCGGTTCTTATTCTAAAAGATTTGCTAATTTCGTAAATAATGCCCACATGGCCCCAAAAGGATCCTTATGCAACCTTGTCCATTGCGCTCGTGATATGATACTTAAAATTGCTTCTTTTGTAAATATGACCTATAATTGGTTCTTAAAGGCAATATCCTAAAATAAAATTTTCGAGTTGCTTCATGATCGCTTTGACAAAGTCCGCCTTTATTAATAGCTACAAGGAAATGTCCTGTCGCGCCCATTCATGTATTAAATGTATTCTGATCACCACTGTTTTGATAGGCAATATCGTCACTATAAACCGCAAACATAACCGTCAATATAATGTGCAGAGGAAATGGGTCTTTCTTTTCGTTGTGGCGAATTGCTATCAAGAGATTATTACTATTATTAACCCTCCATGCTCTGGGGTGGCTTGAAATATCTCAGTAAAAGGACTCCAAATCTAATATTGATCCTGGCTTCAGGTATCGACGACGTCCACACGTGGTGTTTTATATGAAGTTTTGACTGCAAGCCTCAGGTGAGATCGTGATCATAGAAATCGTAAATGAAGCCTCAGAGTTGTTTTTGATTTTTTAGGGAAATATCAGGAAATGTGCATAACAAGCAACTGCTTGGCTTTGTGCAAATGCATTACCCCTCATTTTGTGGTGAATCCTAGGACCCACTGGAGTGTATTATCATAGCCTATTCAGTTTGTTAAATCTTGTGAAAGTTTAGAAATATTTGCTTACGGCTACGGCGGGGTAGGGTTTTGGTACGATTTAAGTGGCTGCCATCTCCATACAAAAACACATAATGTCCCCAGAACCGATGGGACATTATAGGACATTCTAGGAACGTTATGTTCGGAAGCGTAGTAGGGCCACGGAGAAATTGTTTTTGTCTACGTATCTCCTACGTAGAACTTACTATCTCCTACGTAGGACTTACTATTTCCTACGTAGGACTTAGTATCTCCTACGTAGGTCCTACTATCTCCTACGTAGGATTTACTATCTTCTACGTAGGACTTCCTATCTCCTACGTATAAGATACTAAATCCTACGTAGGAGATACTAAGTCCTTCGTAGAAGATACTAAGCCCTACTTAGAAGATACTAAGTCCTACGTTGGAGATACTTAGACAAAAATAATTTCACCGTGGCCCCACTACGCTTCCGTAGTTATGTGTTTCTGCATGGAGGTGGCAGCAATTCTGTGTGAACAATGGGGTGTTTGAGATATGTCATGGTAATATTTGAGATGAAAGGTGCTGAACACTCTTGAATTTTACACGGGGTTGTTTTTGTTTTGTTGTTTAACGCTGCACTCAGCAACACTGTAGCTGTATGAAGGAAGCACATGTACCACATGTGGTGTCTCCTTTGGCAAGTGACTTTGTTCGAAATGTGCCTCTGTTCATCCGGCAGTAAATGGGTACCCGGTAGGATGTAATATGCCAGTTAACCTCCTAGCGCCTCACGGGAAGCTTGTCTTGTACACTCCCTAGGGAGCTGAGAATGATAAACGAGAGCACACTGACCCATTGACCTGGGTAATAAATGTTTGCGCTTTGAGCATGTACATCCTGTGTATGGCGTCCAGAGCAATATAAGTATACACATAAAAATAAAACCGCCTAGACATGAACCATCTCACACATCATACAAGCAAATGCTGTGAGTGAAGACGACATCCCTCCTTTGTTGTGTTTGATGTGACATACAGATAATGTATTTTGTAGAACATTGTCCATTGTTAGACATCTTAAATGTTATGCAAGGTATTTCGTATATTCTGCACGTTATATAACATACATGTTGTCATATAACCCGTATATCAAATTATATATATGTAGCCTTTATTAGCGGACCACTCTCCATTTACGATATTTCCTATATTCAAGACAAAAGTGTAACATTTTATACGAGATCTCACGTATGATTCATTCTATCATTCATGTAACATTCTATCAAAATATATGTCAATCTATATCATATTATCCTTCCTATATATGATACCTTTCCCATTTTCGGTTTTAGAACATACCATACAAAATATACCCTAGATGCCACATATAACATTCTAAACACTATCATTGCTTTTTCTGTGTATGACAATCTCTCTATCATATGTCCTTTATTTGAAACTACACTATTCATATATAACTTGTATTGTAACCTTTACTGGTATATTCACTATGTAAAAACCCATTGGGTTACCAGGTTAAAATTGGTCAACAACCTATGTTTGGTTACGAAATGACTGGGGTGGTCAGATTCGGTGACTAGGTTGCATATCCTAAATGCCTAGATCAGTTATCATGATGTCAGCCTTTGGAT